TTGCACTAGTCCCTCGGTCCCTCCCTTTCTTTTTTACTTTTCATATAAGATTTGACTGGAGTCAAACTTAGTAAAATGCGATCAAACTTATATTAGAAATATCAACATATGCATTACAAAAGTTACATAATGCAAAAATTATTTCATGATGCATCTAATAATATTAATTTTGTATTGTGAATGTTGATGTGTTTTTTTACAAAGTTTGTCAAACTTTATGAAGTTCACTTTAGACAAACTTATATGCGAATTTAAAAAAACGAGGGAAGTACTATTCGGTCCCACAATGTAAGACGTTTTTTGCAAACCATGTTCATCTTACATTGTGGGATGGATGGAGTACTTATTAAGAAACATGCATTTTGACACAAGTTAATAAACATAGTGACACATGCGTATGGTTAAAGATAAGTATGAAAATGAAGCAATGAGCTTACTGATAAAAATAGCTCAAAATAACATATATGTTGTTAAGATTTTTATGAGAAAATTGTTTGTCTTGCAGAAGTCCTTGAGTTTTCCTTTTTAGAAACACTATACAAACAAAGATGCTCGCATATACGCAAATACACCAACCCCTGCAAATGCGCACACACACCGTACCTCTACGAGCACCTTTGAGATGTTGAATATATGAATCTTGAGACTGACAAAGTAAAATTTACTTTTTATTCCATTATGGACAAACATGTACGGAAATACAACAAGTTAATAAACAAGTGATAATTTTTTTGAACGTATCCACTACGTGCATAGATATCGTTTCCTTCTTGACCATGTCCATGTGACCTCAGGTATTTAACCAGCATGACCATATCCATGTAGATACTTAATTAGCTAGCTAATTAGGCAGTGGTTAAGCTCTACGATAACATACTGCTTCAACTGATGGTCAATCGATCTGACCTGCAGCGCCGCCAAGCTAGCGCCGTCGCCTATATCCGTGGTCAATGCATATGCCAAGCTACTAGTTTGATCAACGCACGGCTGTCGGAATAATCATTCGATGTATGTGATCCGCAATATGAACAGGTTCAGTTTCTTGCATTAACTCAAACCAGTGGGAGTGTTATCAATAAATGATGGCGCAGAAGACATCACACATACCAATACCAATACAGTGACCTATGACCGGGCAAGACACTGGCTGTGTACGTCGGCGTCGCCTCAGCGGTGGACTTCATGGGACCCAAGTGACGGCAACCTCCCATATTTTACTTCTTCTCGATGATGGCGGCGGGCGCGGACGTGCTGGCCGCCGCCTCGTTGATCTCCGCAAAACTGGCTTCTTTCTCCATCGGCAAGGCTCGATTACGCGAATATTGATGGCGGACGGCGCGGTTGCAGGCACAGGAGGAGCGTACGACACGGTGTCGTCTACGACAGCCACAACGGCCGTGCCGCCGTGCTCCCCATCGTGCCGGCTTGGAGCAACTCGCCACTCCTCGGCGAGCTAGCTTGGAGCGACGAGTTGCTGAACAACGGGCCGGCGTGAAGTTTTTGCCTCCGCGAGTAGCTTGCAGTGGTCTCAAACATCCAGATACTAGTACTTGATACTATGTTTCAAACATATCCATGAATCTAGTTATCAACATCTAAAATACCAAAATGTTAACACACTTTTCTATAAATTTGAACGAACTTTGCAGAGTTTGATCGTGAAAGAAAATTCATTATGCATTATATTTTAAGACAGATGGCGGCAAGAGTAAACAGAATCATGGTGCTAGTATGCACCTAGTTTTAGAGGCATGACTGACATGATCTAGGAAACAAAAGTGGAAACATGGCAGGACTACGGTGGCACATACTCTCCTCTATGAACACACACACATCCTGCCTCTATGAACATCTCCGAAAGACCGAGCCGGCACATTATTTTGAGATTGGCGAAGTCGCCACAGACGCCTTCGTAGTCGACGGGAACATCTCCTCCCATTGAACGCATATATCGCTAAAAGGTTGATATAAATCCAGAAAAATACGAGCACCAATGTCAAGTCTGTGACTTGAACTCTAATGGGCAGGGCATACCTCTGTCCTCATAACTATCCAAGCATGGTTTGGTTCGCTTAATACTACATTTTATAACATATAAACAGTTGTCAAAAAATGTTGCACATGACATACTATGTGTTGTCCATAAAAACTGAAACAAATAGTAATACGCGTTATATTTTATAAAAGCTGTACACGTACTAAAAAAATGTTAAAATGTGGCATTTAATACACCACGAAAAAAATACCATCTCAAATATGGCATATGATCGAAAGTTTTCCGGCAAAATAAATAAATAAATATATAATACAAATTTTGTCAGTTAAATTGCTGATCTAGGCGTGCCTTACGGGGTGAAAGGAGATGGTTTGTTGCTGGTGAATTCTATCCTCTTCCTCTCGAGTACATGAGTCGGCACGCATGACGAAGCCGCAGCCATCAGCTAGCTAATCCCTATGGAAAGCTAGCTAGGGGCAAGTTGGAGACGTCCGATCAGGCGAAGATCGCCTGAAAGCGGACCGGGGACGGAGACCAGACCGTGCATGCATGGAAACCGACCTGCAAAGACCGGCGATCGCGCTCACGTTCACGCTCGTCACCGCCGTCAAATGGCATCTTCCCGGCCAATGGCAAGCTGCCCAGGCCGCCACCACCACCGTCGTCCATCGGCGTGGTGTGGTTGTCAACGGCCCAGCAGGGGTCACGGCTGACCCAAGCGCGTGAAGCCGCGCAGCGAGACAAGCGACGGGTAAAAGGGCGGTGGATGATCACTGCAACTTGAGAGGCGACTGATGAGTGATAGGGGATGGGAGGACGACGACGGGTCAGCCAGTTCACACCCGGGTCACGGATGGGGGTCAAAGCTGCCTGCCGCTCTGAGGCGGTGAGGCCCCGGCACGGCCACGGCGCGCGCGGGGAGCTCTGCCGTCGGCATCGGAGGCATCGTAGGTCGCCGTCGTCGGGCTCGGAACCTACGGCGTCTAGCTAGGGCCGGGAAATGGTTTTGTTTCCGAGCGCACATTGTTGTTACTTGTTCAATAGCGATATCACGAAGGTCAGAGGCAAAACGCCTGGATTATTTCAGTATTTCCGGCGATGCGCATTTAGTGAGAGGAGACGTTCCCATCGATGACAGGGTGCCTACGGAGACTTCGTAAATTTTAAAATGATATGTTGACTCAGCCTTTCGGAGGTGCTCATAGGGGTAGGATGTGCGTGTCTGCGTTCATAGGGATGAGTGTATGCGCGTGTATATGAGCGCTTGCATATGTACTGTGTTCAAGAAAAAAAAAGGGCAAAACGCTAAGGAGAAAATTGCATTGTAGATAATAAGATAACCATGAAAATGCTGAGACCATGCAACTTCGCATTTTCCCCGGGCCATGCAGGTCTATTCCGTTCAGAGCAGACAATTCTGAGGTCTCCGGGAGCGTTGGCGTCTACTGACTGAAACCGAACATAAGGTCCAAAGCAGAATTCTGAATCTGTGGCCAACCAGGACCGTTGACATAACACTGAAAACAGGAAGCTGAACCCCCGGTAAAACAGCGCCACAATCAGCGGTCAGGCACAGCTATGGTTACAACGATTGCTAGAGTCGGCAGAATATCCGGACGTAACGACAGACATCATGGGTCCTCAAGGCTAGGCACCTCATACGCCGGGACGACTCCTGAGTTAGGTTTCAGCGCTGAACGTCAACTGCAAGGCGATCAGAGGCCCCTTTTTTAAGACTATAGCCACGCGTTCGCCTGATAAGGCAAAAACCCTTGCACAAAACCGCAGACGACCATGAAAATGCTGAGACCATACAACACCGGATTTTCGCTGGACCATGCAAATCCACTCGGTTCAGAGCAGACGATTTTGAGGTCTTCAGAGTCTGTAGTCTACTGGGAGTCTGGCACGTAACGTCCAGCGCAGAATTCCGAATCCAGAAGCCCGGCCAGGAACGCTGACAGAGACACGATCAGCAGTCAACCACGGATATGCATCCGGCGCCGATCGTGACATGAATGAAGTTCATGTCGGCAGCGCAAACCGACAAATAGTATGATCTCTGAATGTGGTCAGCCGAGGTAGAAAATGCTTCATGGCCTGACCACTTTTACGAAACAAATGTGAGAATTAAATTCAGCAGTAACAATATTCAGGACCAATATTGCACGAGTTAGATCTGCATCCAAGTCAAATTTGAATGTCCTCGGAAAGTCATGGTGAGCAGTGACTGAAATGAACACGGGAGAACCTGAAAGCAGGGGCAGGGGAATTACAGGTCGCATCATAAGTATTCCACATCATCGAGTTACAAAAAGAATCATACCAACATCATCATAAGACTAGCAAAAAGAAACCCAAATGAGACATCCATGAACAAATTGGTGGAAAACACCCATGAAAGCAGCATTCAGTTCCTGCCTCTCCAGATTTGGCCTGAACTAATCAGTCATCAGCTTAGGTATCCATATCGGTAGCATCAATCCGAAACAAATAACACCAAAAAAAATCCAGGTGAGGTAGGGTGCCGCACCAATTCATTAATAGAAAAAACCGCAGACACAAAATGGTGGAAAGCACTGATGGAAGCAGTTCAGTTCAAGAAGCATGAAAGGCATTTTGTTCATGCCTCTCCAGATTTGGTCTGAATTAATCAGCTCATCAGCTTAGCTATCCACATAATATCACCGGCATCTATCTGATCACACACTGACTACTGAGAGCTTCTCTACGAGATGACAGTACGTGTTTTAAAGCTGACGCACTTGTAATGTCTAACAATGAGATATGCAATTTCGCAGTTCTTTGGCCCTGACTCTAGTGTCATACTAGAGTCTTCAGCCCCGACTTAGTGCCATACCACTTCTCTTCACTGCCGGAACCTGTCCATCTGTATTCGCTGTTTGTCTAGAAACGAAGGCTGTCCCTTCCATCTCATCGCTGCCACTGCACCCCGTTTCAATATCAATGTCTTCATAATCATATCGACGTGAGAATGAGATCTTCATAATATCAACACCAGTATCCGGTCATCTTCCACTTTTGCATGGCGAGCACCAGCTGGTTCATCTTCTACCTCCCCAACACGGTTGGCTGGTGGAGCTCTCACTTCCTCTTGTATGTATGTCTGGAACTTGAGCTTGGAAGCCTGTACCTTGGTGCAGAAGACTTCTAGAAAGTTACTTAGGCATCCTTGATCATAGACGTTAGGCCTACCACCTGACAGAGATTCTCGTGCGTTGTCTGAAATACCAAAATACCTATATCAGACATTAGGATTTAGGAGCAATGCACTGGAAGGAAACTACAGTTACTAACTTCAGACTGAAGGAGCCACTGTGCAAAAACTCAAAATATTGTACACTTTCAAAAAGGCACATTCACGACCTACAGTTACTAATTTCAGATTAGTAGCTCCAACCAAACGTACCCCTTTGCCACTGCTTACGGTGGAGATTGAACTGAACTACCTATTTCCATAGATGCGTATAGCCGTATACCCTAGTTCTTAAAAAGGGACAACAATGCCACATTAATATTCTATTCTAGCAATGCGAGTGAACATGAAGAAGCAACTGCAATGGCCACTAGCGAGTCAGGCTGCATGTGGATGTGGGCTGTCCGTGGTGCCCACGTCCAAACCCACATAATGTGTGCGTGGACACCCACGGGTTGAGCGCCCGAAGATGTGGGATATGTGGGCTGTTCGGCGGGCGCCCGCATCGAACCCGCTTTTCACAGCCGCGACGATGATGCAGCCATGTACCTCTGACCGCAACGCCTCGGTCCAGCTCCAATGCTCCACCATGGCTACCGCAGTGCCGCCTTCTACCTCCGTGCTGGCCGTCGCAATGTTGCCATCCAGCGCTGCCATGGCTGCTGCAGCGCTGGCGTCTACCTCTACCATGGCCTGCGCCGCATTACCTCCGCCGTGGCCTCCACTGGGCCGCCGTCTACTTCCACATATGAGAGCGTGAATAGAAGAAAAGGATCAATCCTGTCAGATGTGAGTTGTATCCTCGAAACAAAGTTGTGTCTGTCAGTATGAAATCACGGCATGGACTAGAACTGAAGGCAGACAGTATAGCAGTAATTATTCCCATGTTATTCCTCACTATTCAATTAGGGCTTCCCATGTTCATCCTGCAGAATAGATTTGTTCAGTTAAAATCCTAGTGCATAAGTCATCTACCATTAGTACATGGATAAGTAGTCCTGGTGATAGTTGGAGTCTGTCAGAGGAAAGTTAGGACCGGCAGAGTATAAGTCATAGCAGGCAGGAGAGCTCACCGGCGGTGCATCTTTGTACTACTCAAGTTATAGCCTATGGACACTGTTCTGTACTGCGACTAGCTTGCCACTGCTGCTCACATCGCTGTGGAGTAAGTGGGTATGCGGCAGCCCGCGTAGTCCCGCCTAAGCTATGTGGGCAGCCTACTTAATCCAACATAAATTATGTGGGTGGATACGGCGTCACACGGGACGCCCGCAGGTCGTCACACTTACAGTGTGGTGTGACTAGCGAGTGGTTGAAAGCACAGCTGGCCCATCAACACAATAATCCTTCAAAGTCATACTGAATGGATCAACCACATTACTTTTTTCCAAATTAGCATGCTAACACCTAGTAAATCCTAATAGCAACCCAATGAGACAAAAAGATCGTACCCACGCAATGGAGCCTTTGGCTAAAATAAAATGAAAAGAAAAAAGTAAATAAGTCATTCATCGGATATTCCTTGCGCCATTTAGCTGCCAAGTGGCAACCAGAAGCAAGTCCAAAATGACAGTAGGACATTTAATAAGAATGTAAAGAAACAATATTGTCTGTAAGCCAAATGAAAGATATATAATCATCAGTGGATCACACTCAACAAATGGTTTCGTAGTGTAGTGGTTAGCACTCCAGACTTTGAATCTGGCGACCTGGGTTCGAATCCCGGCGAGACCTACATTTTTAGCTGGCATTTTAGTTTTTCCATGGTACAATGTACTCACATGTTTATGCCATTTAGTACTGGAGAAAAATATTGTGAGAGTAGAATGCACTCCTGTTTTTGCCGGCATTTAGTATTTCCCTGGTACAATGTACCCAGACCATCCATGCTGCAGATACTCACAGTCTAGAGGCTAATAACACTTGAAACATACCTCTGTGTCTTCTGATTTACATTGGTGTGACTATAGCCTCGCCAAAATTTACATTTCACTATCAAGAAAGGCAAATTCCCTGGACCCTGCACAAGCAGGAGTTAGGTGCACTGAGCTGCCCTTTTATCAAGAAAGGCAAATTCAGTACCTATAGTCACTAACTTCAGATTAGTAGTTGCAACCGAACGTACCCCTTCCCCTCTACTTACGCTGTAGACTGAACTGAACTACTTATTTGCCTAGATGCGCGTACCCTTGTTCTTAATATGGGACATTAATGCCTCATTAATATTCTATTCTAGCAATGTGACGCAGACCCGTACACTCAAAAACTTGTATTCTAGCAATGTGAGTGAGCATGAAGAAGGAACTGCAATGGCCACTAGCGAGTAGTTGAAAGCACACCTGGCCAATCAAAACAATCATCCTTCAAGGTCATACTGAATGGACCGACTATATTACTTGTTTCAAATTATCATACCTCAAACACCTAGTAAATCCTATAGCAATCAACGAGACAAAATGATGTACCCATGCAATGAAGTATTTTAGCTAAAATGAATTGAAAAGAAAAGAGAAAATAAGTCACTCATCGGATATTCCTTGCTCCATTTAGCTGCCAAGTGGCAACCGGAACTAGTCCAAAAAGGCAGAAGGAAATTTAACAGGAAGCATCAAGTAAAGAAACAATATTTTGTCTGTAAACCAAATGACAGATATATAACCATCGTGGATCACACTCAACAAATGGTTTCGTAGTGTAGTGGTTAGCACTCCAGACTTTGAATCTGGCGACCTGGGTTTGAATCCCGGCGAGACCTACTTTTTTAGCTGGCATTTTAGTATTTCCATGTATAATGTACTCATATTTTTTATGACATTTACTATTAGGGAAAAATATCAAGTCGCAACTTTTTTTGCTTACATTTAGTGTTTCCGCGGTACAAATACTCAGTCTAGAGGCTCATAACACTTAAAACATCCCTGTCTTCTGATTTGTATTGGTGTGACTATAACCTTACAGTACACTATCAATAAAGGCACATTCAGTACCTATAGCCACAAACTTCAGATTGGTCACTGCAAACCGAACGTATCCCTTCCCCACTCTTATGATTTGGAGACCCAACTGAACTACTTATTCCCATAGATGGGCATACACCTGGCCAATCAAAACAAATATCCTTCAAGATCATACTGAATGGACCGACTATATTACTTGTTCCAAATTATCATACCTCAAACACCTAGTAAATCCTATAGCAATCAACGAGACAAAATGACGTACCCATGCAATGAAGTATTTAACTAAAATGAATTGAAAAGAAAAGAGAAAATAAGTCACTCATTGGATATTCCTTGCTCCATTTAGCTGCCAAGTGGCAACCGGAACTAGTCCAAAAAGGCAGAAGGAAATTTAACAGGAAGCATCGAGTAAAGAAACAATATTTTGTCTGTAAACCAAATGACAGATATATAACCATCGTGGATCACACTCAACAAATGGTTTCGTAGTGCAGTGGTTAGCACTCCAGACTTTGAATCTGGCGACCTGGGTTGGAATCCCGGCGAGACCTACTTTTTTAGCTGGCATTTTATTATTTCCATGTATAATGTACTCATATTATTTTATGACATTTAGTATTAGGGAAAAATATTGACTCACAATTTTTTTCCCTTACATTTAGTGTTTCCACGGTACAAATACTCCGGTCTAGAGGCTCATAACACTTAAAGCATCCCTGTCTCATGATTTATATTGGTGTGACTATAACCTTACAGTACACTATCAATAAAGGCCCATTCAGTACCTATAGCCACAAACTTCAGATTGGTCACTGCAAACCGAACATATCCCTTCCCCACTCTTATGGTGGAGACCCAACTGAACTACTTACTCCCATAGATGCGCATACCCATGTTCTTAAGATGGAACATCAATGGCTTATTAATATTCTATTCTAGCAATGTGTTGCAGACCCATACAAGAACTCAAAATATTGTATTCTAGCAAGGTGATTGAACATGAAGAAGGAACTGCAATGGCCACTAGTGAGTGGTTGAAAGCACATCTGGCAATCAAAACAATTATCTTCAAGGCCATATAGAATGTATCGACCATACTACTTTTTCCAAATTATTGTACCGCATACACCTAGTAAATCCTAAGAGCAACTCACTGACACAAAATGATCGTACCCAGGCAATGAGCCTTTGGCTAAAATGAATTGAAAAGAAAAGAGAAATAAGTCATTCATCAGAAATTCCTTGCTCCATTTAGCTAACAAGTTGCAACCGGAAGCAAATCCAAAAAAACAGAAGGAAATTTAAGAGGAAGCGTCGAGTAAAGAAACAATATTTTTTTCCTCAAAAAAAAGAAACAATATTTTGTCTGCAAACCAAATGACAGAAATATAACCATCAGTGAGTCACTCTCAACAAATGGTTTCGTAGTGTAGTGGTTAGCACTCCAGACTTTGAATCTGGCGACCTGGGTTCGAATCCCGGAGAGACCTACTTTTTTAGCTGGCATTTTAGTGTTTCCATGATACAATGTACTCACATTTTTTTATGACATTTAGTATTTGGGAAAAATATTGACTCTCATTTTTTGCTGACATTTATTGTTTCCAGTGTAGAATGTACTCCTATTTTTGCTGACATTTAGTATTTTCCTGGTACATGTACTCAGAGCTTCCATGGTACAAATACTCACAGTATAGAGGCTAATAACACTTGAAACATACCTCTGTCTTCTGATTTACATTGGTGTGACTATAGCCAAAATTTACATTTCACTATCAAGAAAGGCAAATTCCCCGGACCCTGCGCAAGCGGGAGCTATGTGCACCGAGATGACTTTTATCAAGAAAGGCAAATTCAGTACCCGTAGTTACTAACTTCAGATTAGTAGCTGCAACCAAACGTACCCCTTCCCAACTACTTACGCTGGAGACTGAACTGAACTACTTATTTCCCTAGATGCACGTACCCTTGTTCTTAAAATGGGACATCAATGCCTCACTAATATTCCATTCTAGCAATGTGATGCAAACCCGTACAGTCAAAATGAGCATGAAGAAGGAACTGCAATGGCCACTAGCGAGTGGTTGAAAGCACAGCTGGACAATCAAAACAATTATCCCTCAAGGTCATACTGAATGGACAGACTATATTACTTATTCCAAATTATCATACCTCAAGCACCTAGTAAATCCTATAGCAATCAACGAGACAAAATGACATATCCATGCAATGAAGTATTTAGCTAAAATGAATTGAAAAGAGAAGAGAAAATAAGTCATTCATCAGATATTCCTTGCTCCATTGAGCTGCCAAGTAGCGATCGGAACTAGTCCAACAAGGCAGAAGGAAATATAACAGGAAGCATCGAGTAAAGAACAATATTTCGTCTGTAAGCAAAATGACAGAAATATAACCATCGGTGGATCACACCCATCAATTGGTTTCGTAGTGTAGTGGTTAGCACTCCAGACTTTGAATCTGGCGACCTGGGTTCGAATCCCTGCGAGACCTACTTTTTTAGTGGCATTATAGTATTTCCATGTACAATGTACTCACATGTTTTTATGACATTTAGTATTGGGGAAAAATATCGACTCACAATTTTGTTTGCTGACATTTAGTGTTTCCACGGTAGGATGTACTCCACTCCCGACATTTAGTATTCCCCTGGTACAATGTACCCAGACCTTCCATGGT